TAATGAAAATGTTAAAAAAGAAAAATCAATAGCAATCTAAAAGATTTAAGCTAAAATCTAAAAATTTTTAGTATCAAATGAGATCATTTGAAAGAATAACTTTATAGATATTAATGTGTAGCATATTATCTCACTATTCTAAGTAGTTTTTGATAAAAAAGGATTTACTTGCTAAAGTATTTTAATATAGGTAGCTATTATTACTTAAATCATAAAAATAGAAGTTTATTATAAGTATGGCTATACTATCATATAAATGCAAAGAAGAATTATTTTCAAATAAGTTCTTATAAATTCCCAGTAATAGTATTCTTTTTTATATTCTTCATAATAATATCCATATTTATATTTTGTATTGCATTCATTCAATTTAGATTTATTTTTTCTAATATTTAAGAGAATAAGTATAGGGAAAAATATTTTATATAATAATATCGACACAGATATTGGGTAACTGACTTTTATAGTGTTAATATCATCACATTTTACTCTTAAATCATATGGATTATATTGCTGGCTTCCAATTTAAGTACATGATAAGGATTTTAAGAAATATTATATTTAAATTATTTAAAAAAAGATATTATGAACATGAAAGATCACATGATAATGATATGACCTAATTCTAGTGTAAGTAAAAACTTATATCATAAAAAGTATTAAACATATTATGATGAGAATCACTTGAGGTATTAAAATTTAAATTATTTCTTAAACAATAATTATTCCTAATTGGTCTATGTATTCAGCTTTTATTAAACAATCTATACCTAATGCTATTTATTTGTTTGGTTGACCCAAGATGCTATTAATTAAATTTAAGCGCAGAGGTATAAGTGAAAATTTAGGAAACAGCATTGAAGATATCTGATAATAACTAATAATTGTTTTTATCTGAAATCCAGATTAATCAGTTATATCATTTTAGTTTAATGGTATTATTTTTAATGCTCTCATATAGTAGCAAGTTTAAGAAAATTTAAATTACTTTAAGAAGACGTACATATTAAAATAAAAATATAGTATAAGCACACTTAATTTAAGTAAAATGTATAAGAGCTATAGGTAAGTACTAGCGCATTCTTTGCAAACTCCTTAAATCATTGATTCTTGATAGCGAGTTCCTTTCCATATTGCTCCTGTTGTATCACATTATTAACATAGAGGGCCTAAATATCCAACAGAACAATAGTCAATATTATTAGGATTTTCAGCTTAGCAAGAATCTATTTAAATATCGCATGCAACTATTTCATCAGTCAAATTATTTGATCTCCAATAACCATTTTTAAGCATAATAAATTATCCATAGCACTATAAAGCAGAAGAAGGACAATTGTTACATTAATTTTTAATTCCATATTTTAAACTTTAATCGTATAAAGCTTCTGGATCATTTAATGAGTAAGTAGTTTCAGAACAATACTTACATATTACTATCTTCTTAGTAATTTATTAAATAATTTCTCCTAGCTAGCATTTTCTAAATTATATTGATAAGAAAATTGGTTTTTATTTATTTGGAAATGTATATACACTTGAGCTGATAGAAAAAAGTTAAACTGTTTACAAAGTTCCTAAGATTTACAGCCCTGTTAACTCAAATACTAATCCACTAGAATTATATTAGTTATAATCAATTATTCTTTCACCTATTAATTAGGTTGCTTCTATGTTTAAATTATTTACGCTGATCTAAATATTTTTTAATTCTTCCTGTACTTCAATCGGATATTAACTTTAAAGCAATTTATCTAATTAAAAAGAAATATAACGATTATAATTATCCAAAATATAAATTCTTAAATCAAGCTATCCGCCACTCTAAAATTCCTTAATATCAACATATCTTGAGTATTCTTGTTGATACATTTATGGAATATTATTTTAGCTTTCATAAAATTTAAATTAATATGAATTTTATTGGTAATTATTATTTGCATTTTATATAACTAGTTATTAGGGGTAAGTTGTAGCATCGTTTCCATAAATTTCTGCTTAATTTTAATATACATTTTAATAAAAAGGGAAAGTATTAGGAATTTACAAAAAATTAGTGATATTTATAATTATCCTTAAACCTCCTCCAATCATAGCTTTATTTTAAATTAATTTTGTTTTAGAATCAAATAATATCTCACAATTACCTATATCTACAAATAAAAATGCTCCTCCACTACTCACAGCTTAATTTTTCTTAAATAAAGAGTTAATAAATTAAACTTTCTCCTAAATTCCTAAAAAAGAAATAGCACCCCCATTTTATGATTTGTTATCTGAAAATTAGCAATTTTCAATTTTTATTTATTCAGATTAGCTTAAAGCAAATCCTCCTTAATTAAATTCACAAGTGATGTTAATTAACTGAATAAAAGAGTTCTGTATAAATAAAAGATATTTACTTTCTAGAACGTTTTCGCTAAAATTTACATCTAAAATATCAATTGTATCATCAAACAATGAAGCAAGAATATTATTTTATTAATATTAGTTAATTGAATAAATAATCATCATCTAAAAATTTTAGCTAAAATATGAACTTTTAATGAGAATTAATTAGCAACCAAAAAAATTAAAGACTGAAGTATTCTCTAAATAATCTATTTAAACTAATGTTCTTTTTTAGATTTGTTGTGTATTAGTATTATCTTAAACGTTTATATTTTAAATTGTAATATTCTTTATTTATGTGAATTAAAAGAACGTAGACAAGTTAATATTGTTTTTTATATTCACTCCATCAATAAAAATATTATTAATGTTTGTAAAGTTAAATAAAACGATTCTAATATTTTATGAAAGCTAGTTTGATAATATATCTAAGTCATATAAGTATACTTAGGATATATTGGTAAAACTAAAAAGCGATAATTTTTAATTTTAATTGTTAGTAATATTGCATATTGTTAATTATGATAACTTGATTGATTAAATCGTAACTTATTAAATATTCTAGAATAAAATGTTAATATCACAGATTTATTAATTTGATATTGTTATATTTTACCAAACTAATTTTAGTAAATTTTAATTAAATCTAACCTAAATTTACTAATCACTTCTATCAAATATAAAATTATAATTAAAAATTTTCAAGCTCTATTACAAAAAGAAATAAAATGTATCATTATAAATTTTAATTTCTTTTTAGGAAGCTGTTTAAGGAGAAAAAATAAACTCTGAGTTAGTCAATAAATTTGAAGATAACTATAAAAGTATAGGTTCAAATTGGTCATCTTATGTTTATAGGTAAATTAAGTTTGTCCAATTAGCTTAATTTATTGTTGATATTCCATAATAACCATATTAAATAGATTATTTTGGTGTAATGTAAGATATTTATTGTATTAATTTGAAAATATCTTTATTGGATAGCACTAAAGAACACTATGATATATTTTAATTATTTTTTCTATAAAGGGATAAGCTGTAATTATGTTCGAATATTCCAGATTAATGTAAGCCATAAACCTTCAAAAAATCATTAGATTGGTCATAAGCAAATCCTAAATACCTTGATAAATTTAAATTCTATTAAGATATCAAAATATTTTGTTTTTCAATAAGCAGATAAACTTCATATGATAAATAATAAAATACTATTACAATATTGCTACTTATTACTTAATAATCTGTTACTTAGTCATTTGAAAAATTAGATTTTATTATTGCCAGTAGTGTAATATATTATTAAAGACTATAGATATTCAGCTGAAATCTACAAGAAGTAATTATATATTGGTTGTCTATTAATTTTAGTTTATTTCCTTAATTATTTGTTAAAATAAGATATTATTCCTACTAGTTTGTTGAGAAGTTCCATACATAAACTTTTTTTTATCCATCAAAAAAGAAAATATATCTAGAAAATATAACATCTATAATAAAGTCTGCTAATTAAGCGGATTAATCCTCTTTAACTAAATTAATTAAATTAATTTCTGATATTACTTTTTTTTAATTAATGTCAACTTTTATTAGTACTCCACCATTAGTACCAAAGTAAGCCTACAAAGAATTTACATCTTAAACTATATTAATAACAGAAGTATATAGAATATTAAATCTTGAAATACTATAGTATTATAAGCTTTAATCATTTAAGTTGATTTATAAAACTTAGCTAGAACTTAGCCCCAAAAAAATTATATCTTAGTTTTTATTAGTCTAAAAATGAGTCACTAAAACTTAGGACTATAATTAAATAATTTAAATGATTTGACCTGTCTAAATATCTGCATGAATAATCTTTTTATCAAACGTAAGATACACATTTGATGTTATAAATCTGTGAAATTACACTTACTATATACTTAATATTTTAGGTATTTAGTTATTGTTCTTTGTATATTAATATTACTAATAAAATAATATCTGATCAGTTAATGCAAAAATTAAAACATCAATTTAAGAGTTATATGCAATATCAACAATTTAAGATCCTTCTAATAAGAATTCAAAGCAAATATTATATTAAGAATATCTTAATACTGTATTATCTTCATTAAATGTTAAAAATTCTTAATTTAATGAATCGATAGGTATCGAAGCAAACAAATTAGATGATTCTTTTGTCTATTCTTCAAATTAATAACCTGTCTAACTGTAATTAATTTAATAAACAGAATTAGTGCTATAAATCAAAATATTGTTTGTAATGTTTTCATAACTAAAACCAACTAAAATCTCATTTCTATCAAAAACCTCAGAAATTTTAAAATTATTTAAATAAGAGTCTTCTAAAAATAACTAATAAATACTAAAATTTCCTTCAGAATCCAAAAAAGCAATTGATGTTGAACTATAATCATAATACATTTATAAAACCTATCCAACTTAGCTTTATACAATACAATTTATTTTTCCAATATTTTATAAAGTCTTAATGTCGTAAACATAAATCTATGCAAATAGTGAAGAGCTTGTGTATAATATTAATAAATCAAGGTAATCTACGTAAATAAATTTTTACAAATAAAATCCAGATGGACTTTAAATATAATTCTAATTAACTGCCAAAGTATCTCTCTAAATAAAACGTATACCTTATTAATAAAAAAAAAAACATTTAACAAATTTTAATCTTTTAATAAATATCATAATCTAAAAAGCATTTTAAAATCAAAAATAATGAAATTTTTTTAAATATTTAATTTCATGGTTTTTTACTGAATAAATATGTAAAATCTCTAAAATCTAAAATCATTTTATTATTTTAAACTAAAGATTCCATTTTTATGTATTATATTATTGTTTAAATACTAAATAATATGGGATTATTTTTCAAAAGAATAATTAACTAAAATATTACTGTACTATGATTTGATGGATACTAAATTCGATTAGAAGCTGCAATAACCAAAAACCTCTGAAGATATGTCAAAAGTAAAAACAGTAATTAAAACTCCATTAAAAGAATAAACTTAAATTTGATTTCCAAGTAAGAAAATATTTTAAAATTGTTCATCAACAAATATTTAAAACTAGTTTTGATATCCGTTTACTTAAATTATAGATATTTTTGGATTATTTTAAGTGTTTTAATTGATTAAAATAAATTAACTGGATGAAAGACTGCATATTAATAACTATTTTATTAGTTTGCATTCTATAAATTCTAATTTCGATAGAGATTCATCAAAATTTTAATTCAAATTAACAAATTGTGTTTCAAGCGCTACAATTCCAATTCCGTAAATATAAAATAAATTATAGATAGGATCATATAACCATCCATTTATTTTATTTAAACTTTAATAGTAGAATTTTTATGGAGGTATAGTACCATAATTAACTAAAAGAAGTTAATTTAAATTCCAACAAACTATGCTAAATATATCTTCAATTAAACTAAATTTTTAAAAGGGTAAATCATCCGAATTTTTTGGTTTAAGTACCTCTATAAATTCATTTGTGAACAAATTAAATGAAGTTATTTATAGAGATGTTCTTACAAAAAAATATCCTATGTAAGGGCTTTAAATAATTTCTAAAATTTAGTCAGAAGCATCTGTAGAAGAAAGCATATTAACCGTAGATATTGATATATATCTATTTGATTACAGTTAAGCAACAAAAACTAGTCCACCTTAAGATCCAAAATAACTTTTAAAATTATATAGATCAATATTTTAATTAAGAAAAACTGCTTAAGGTAAATTTTAGACATTATCAACTAGATAATCAATTCCAGATTTATAGGTAATATTTCTGCTAATATCTATTTAAAACTCATTTATAACAGAAAATATATTTAAATTAACTATAACTCTAACATAGTAAAAAATAAATCCTGATTAACTTACAATTTTTACTGGGTTCATTAAACCATATGATAAGCCGCTACTATCAAGTTAATAAAAAAAATTATTATTTTTGGAAATACAAATTAAATTTTTTTTGCTACTGTTGATATCTTAGTAGCCTAATATAAAGTAAATATCTTAATCATTTATAACTCTTTTTGTTTCACTTATTTGTTAAATATTAATGTTAGATTTCACTAATGTTTAATTAAGTTTAATATTATAAATGTTAAAGTTATTTAAGCTATCATAAAATAATATTTCATCTATTGTAAATGTGTTCATAATTTAATCTAAATCTTAATTAAATACTTTAACAAAATCAAAATAGACAATTTTATTTATTGATTTTATCGATGAAACTAATTTTGTGGATTGATCAACTAAATTTATCTAATAGATTGATATCTCTTACTACTTGTATGTAATTATTTTTAAATCATTATTTAAAACTATTTTTAGATTATTGCTTGAAAACTCATTAGAGCAAGTATTAAATAAGCTTATCAATTCATTAGAGAAAATTTGGATACAATCTTAGTATAATGTTGCAAGTTTATCATAATTTAAAGTCATTTAAGTAATATTTGTTGAATATTTTACTTCATTTAAAACAATCTATGAAGTAGGGTCTATTAATAGAAGCTATTAATTAGTTACTGCAACTATATTATTATTAAAAAATCTATCTAGCTACAGACAGGTTTATTAATTAAAATTTTTTCTTGAAATTAATTCAAGGCTTGTAGATTTTGAAGCATCATAAAATAGAAAATCACCATTTTAAAGACAAGAAATAAGTATGGGAGGTGAAAAAACTTTTATAAGTGCGTTCACTTAACTGATTGTTGTAAGAAAAGGTAGTTAGAAATTTTCAATAATTTTAGTATCTAAATAATTCTATTAGATATGACTTCTGTAAAATACTTAAATTTTTGTTGGTTAAAAAAATACTAATTCGTATTGAGTCTATGATTCCAAACTGGAGGTACTTTCTAAAGTTTGTATCTTTTTTATTGATGATGATTAAAGCTACAACTGCAGATTTTGTGAGAGAGTGCTATATTAATTAAAGTTAAGATTAAAGAGGCTTATTGTTTAATTTGCTAATATAATTAGCTCATTTCTATTTCCTGAAAAATTTCCTACTTCAAAATCTAAAATTTAGTTAGAATTAATATTTTGCAAATTTATACTTTTCATAGAGTTTTCCATCCATTAGTAAAAAATAAATGAAGATTTTAATAGTATAATCAAATTTAAATTATTTAATGAAATTTCTTAGCTAATTATTTTGACTTTTGATATTTAAGGTTGCTAGAAAACAGTCAAGCAACTATTATTTTTTAAATTTATAGACTAAATTGTATCCTTGTAAATTGAGAAGTAGAGATCTTTTTAAGGTGAATCCAAGACATTTTGTAAATTTCCTTCATAAAAGCAAACCAAAGTAAAGTTATAGTTAAATGTTTAATTTTTAATTTGTAGGGAAACTTAGTAAATCATAAGGGTAGAGGAACTCGCTACAAATATATAATCATTGACAATTTTAACAAATTAATTATCTTAGTTAATTTAAATAGAGGAAGAAACAAATTATATTTAATTGTATTTATCATAAATAATTTAGAATTCTGAAATAGATTGATTTGTATTGAAGATTATTATATATTAATCCTTATATTAAGTTGCCTATGTCTATTCATTTATTTAAATAAGATTTGATTATTTTATCTAAGTTCTACTTTCATTAATAATATCCCAAATGTAAACAGATTAAGATGATCCAAAAGCAATAATTATTCCATCTATATTTATAATGTTCAAATCGTTACTAAGATATCTTAAATTTTTAATAAGATACATATCTTTTCTATCATACACTGAAAGGTAGCCTTAATTAAAAGCAACATAATACATTTGCTAATAAATAAAAAAATCAGTTGGAATACCTGGGTTTTAAATATTTTGGCTAGTAGAAAATAAAGTAGAACATTAATGTATTTCTTTGCAAGTATTTGATTGAGGATCTCCATAAAACAAAGGTTCACAAATAGATAAACAGCTCTAATTTTTATTTTCTTCAAATAATTCTTACTGATAATATAGATTGGCTGAACATTACTAATAAATGCAAATATTATGTGCATAATCTAAATTGTATCCTTCTTTACACTAATTACAATTATATTGATCTTCATATTCTAATTTTTTACACTAATTACAGCCATCACTGCATTGAGTAAATCCTTTTAGCACAAATATTGATAAAATTAAAAAAATAGATTTTTTCATTGACTTTTTACTTCTAGTTTACCTATTTTAATTATCTGTTAACTATAAAAAATGTTAATATTTTTTTGTTTTTGTAAATGATTATTGAATAGCATTGAATTTAGAAAATCATCATTATTTTGAAATATAAATAAACATAGATTTGAAGATGGTTTTTGCTAATAATGAAAAAGCATTATTTAATTTTAAGAATAATCTTAAAAAACTTAATATAAAACTCATAAATCTAAAATAAAAAACTATTTACTTCAAAAGAAATAATATAATAGCGTATATTTTAACAAGATGTAAATTTATTTATTTTTTAAATAGAATAAATAAGAGTTTATTTTATATTTAAATAAATATGTATATTTCAGATATTAGTTTCAAAATTTTAATTAAATTGCTAATACAGAATAAATATAAAACAGAAAGAAAAGATTAATTTTTCATTTATAATTCAACCAAACAAAAACATTAAAAATATATCTATCTGGCCGCAATTTTTACAAAAAAAATATTATAAATTCTATTTTTGATTTAAATGTAATCATATTTTTAATAACGAAGAATTCTTGAAAATTTGCTTTTAATTTTTACAATTCCTAAAAGGATTTTATTGATAATATTTTATTTAAATCTATTAGCAATTAATAGCTAAATATAAAATATAGCCTGAAAAAAAAATTTTGCAAATCACTCATGAAATCTCAGACAAGTTAAATACTTCTTATTTGTTTGATTGTTATTTATTCATGCTTTTTATTTACTAAAAAGTACTTAATTTAGTTTAGTATATTGAATTTGATAACAAATTCGTAGGACTTGCAGTATGTTATTGGTTCTTAAAAAATGATACATTTTAATTAAAATAACTAATAAATGGACTTCCTCCTGTTAAACTTTTATCCTCGAATGTGTTAGTTTATTCTAAGCCTAATATTTTTTTCGATACCTATGCTTTACAGTAATTAAAAAAAATTAAAATAAATCAATAAAAATAATAAATAAATTATTACATTTTTTTTTCTTAGTAAATCGACTCAGTTATTTTTTAGACATATTTAACTGAGAAATATCTGAATATAATTCAGGTTTAAATTTTGTAATCACAGTTAGATTTTTATAAACAAGTCTCCAAAGTTAGAATGTTCTATAAGAGATATTATTCTATAAGCTTTCATAGCATTTTTTGGGAAATATTTTTTAAATCAACTTCATCAAAAACATTCCTAATTTAGAACTTTTACTCTTGATTTTTAAGAGCAAAATGGAAATGAAGCAGTAAGAAAAGAATGAATAATCAATAACAAATTAGATCATATCAGCAAAAATTATAGATTTATTGATATCGAGTTTGAATACTGATAAAAATAACTTTATGAGTATTAACAAGTAACATAAGATTTCACTTTATTAGAGAGTTTTTGAAAAAAATGGATTCCTTTATTAAACTACTTTAAGATATAAGCCAATTATTATTAAAGAGCTAACTAAAGAAGTAAATTAATAATATGGATAGATAATAGTGTTAATATAGATAAGTAATATTTTAAGGTAAGTTCTAATAAATTCCCAATAATAGTACTCTCTTGTATACTCTTCGTAGTAGTATCCATATTTGTACTTTATTTTGCATTCATTTAGTTTATTTTTATTTTTTTTAATATTATATAATACTAATAATGGTAAGAATGTTCTAAATAAAAGAATAGTTATAGAAAATGGATAGTTAAATTTTAAAGTATCAGCATCATAGCATTAAATTCTGAGATCGTAGGGATGATAAAGTTAATTACCTATTTATGTGCAGGTTAGAGATTTGGTAAAGTATTATATTTATCCAACTTAAAAGAAAATAAAATGTGTATGAAAGATCATAAAATAATGGTAAGATTTTATTTTACTGTAGCTAAGGTATTATAACGATAAAAGAATAATAAATGCTAGGATAAGAACTAATTAAGGAATTAGGAATTGAATTACTTCTTAAACGATTACTTTACCAAATTACTCAATTAATTTAGTATGCATTACACAATCTAATCCTAAAGATAATTATCTATTTGTTTGGCCTATAAAATTATTCAAAAAGCTTAAATAAATTGGAATAAATTATGAGTTGGGAAACAGAATAGAGGACAGCTAGTAGAAATTGATGATAATCTTAATTTGAAATCCAGAGTAATCATTGATAGAATTTTTGTAGATTGGTAAAATTTTCAAAATTCTTAAATAATAACAAGCTTAAGTAAATCTAAACTACTTTAAGAAAACAAACATGCTTAAAAAAAAGTATAATATCATTATGCTAAACTTTATGAAAAGGAAAGCATACTAAAAATAGATTCCTGCACATTTTTCACAGAAACCTTTCATAATTGCTTCTTGATAACGAACTCCTTACCAAATTTCTCCTGTTATATCACACTACTAACATAGAGGGCCTATGTAGCCATTAGAACAATAATTTATACTGTTAGGATCTTCGCCCTTACACGAACCAATTTAAGGATCACAAGGTAGTATTTAATCAGTAAAATTATTTGATCTCCAGTATCCATTTTTAAGATTAATAGAGGCTCCTTAACAACTAGAAGCAGAAGGTGGGCACATATTACATTCATTTTTTATTAAATTACTTTGATCTAATTACTATTTAAATAAAACTTGAGGATCAATAAGTGAGTATGTCTATTCTTAGCAGTATTTACATATCAGTATATCATTTGTAACAGATTATATTATTTCTCCTAGTTAGCATTATCTGAAGTAAATAGAAAGTAATACAGGATATGATTCTTCTGATTTAGTATAAATGCTAGAACTTATAACAAATAATTAAGTTGATTAGAGCCCTGCTAAAACTTGTAAACTTGTTAATTCGAAAGCATAACTAGTACTATTATACTAGTTGTAATCTAATATCCTTTATCCAATTAACTAACTAAGCTGTACATCTAAGTTATTTATACTGATATAAATATCTTTCAATTCTTGCTAAATATCACTTGGATATTGTTCACCAAGAAGTTTTTCTTAAGAAAAAGAAAGAGTACGATTATAGTTATCTAAAACAAAAATTCTTAAAATAAGCTAACCTCCACTCTAAAAATCTTTTATATGAGCATATCTTGAAAATTAAGATTAATATGCTTAAGGAATAAAATTTTTACTTTCTTAAAAGTTAAATTAATACATATTTTATTTATTTTAACCTTATACATTCTATAATTAAAGCTATTAAGGGTAAGTCGTCGAATCATTCCCATATATTTCTGCTTCGTTTTAGAAAATATTTTTTTTAAAAGGAAAATTTTTAGGAAATTACAAATTTAGCGAATTACTTTGAATGATTCTTAATCCACCTCCTATCAAAGCCTTGTTCTTACTCACTTTTGAATTTTAGTCAAAAATAATTTAGCAATTACCGATATCTGCTAAGAATAAAGCTCCACCGCTGCTTGTAGCATAATTTCCAATAAATTATGATTGAATAAAACTAACTGACTACTATATTCCTATAAAAGAAAGTGCTCCACCATTTTATGCTTAATTAAAAGAAAAATTTGAACTTTATATTGAGATCGTTTATTATTGGCTTAGTTAGAAGCTTCCTTAATTGTTTTAATAATTTATTTGATTTAATACAATAAAAGTATTTTGAATCATTATAAGATATGAATTTTCCATTATGTTTGAAGTAAAATTCAATTAATTTAATTAGACTTAGTCATTATAAAATGTGGTAAGCTTATTATTAAGAAAATATTGATTTAATAAGTTAATAATTGATATTTATTAGTTTTATAAAAATAAAGAATTGGAAATAGAAATAAGTTAGCATCCAAAGAAATTAAAAACAGAAGTATTTTCTAAAGATTCTATTTATTCTAACAACCTCATCTTGTTTGCTTATGAATTTTCATTTGTATTTTGCAAAATTTTGGAGTTTTAGATAGTAACTTTCTAGATTTGTGTAAAAGAAAAAAAGTTTGTTATATTTGTATTCATTTTAGCATTTATTCCATCAATAAAAATATTATCTATTTACTTAAAATCAAAGAAAATATATTGAGTCTTTTAAAGGAAACTATTTTATGAGATGTCCAAGTCATAAATAATAATTTTCGATACGTTTTAGAAACTAAACAAAGTGGAAGATTAATTCTAATTTATTGATTAATTGCACAGTTTTAATTATGATAATTTTATTGATTATAAAATTACTTGTTAAATATTAGCAATCTAGATGTTTACATTATCTATGCATTAATTAACTATGCTTATATTTTACCAAATAACTTACTGAGTATTCTAATTTAGAGTAAGCTAGATTGATTAATTATTTTTGTTACTGAAAACAAAGTTATAGTTAAATATTTATAGAGTTTGCTATTGGAATAGAGAAAATGTGTTGTTTTATAGTTAAAGGTTGTTTTAAGTACCAGTTTGTGGAGAAAATATATATTATGAGTTAGAGATCTAATTTTAAGAAATAAATTAAATTACATTCATAAATTATTGGTTATTTATTTCTAAAAAGATTAAGTTTACCCAGTTAGCTTAATTTTAAGTTGTTAATCCTTATATTTAATTGACGGCAGTTTGTTTTGGAACTACATTTGATATCTGTTGTTTTACTTATTACACATCATTATTAGTCAATACAATAGAGCACTCAGACAGGGTTTAATCTTAATTATAAATAGATAGGCTATAATTATCTTCAAAAACTCCTCCTTAATGTAATCCATATATTTTTAAAAATTTATTAGATTAGTTATAAATATAACCCAACAACTTTGGATAATTGAATTATTTTTATGATATTAAACTATTCTGATTATTACTAAGCAAAAAAAGTTCGTATTTTAATGAAAAGAAAATAATTATAATATTATTTTCAATAATCTAGAAGTTTGTAATAAAATCAACTAGAAAGTGTTTCTAAATGATTGTTAGTAATTTAATCTTTTGTTAGAGGCTGTATATGTTCAACTGGAATCTGCAAGAAGTTATCACAAATTATCCTTATATTAAAGTAATTTTATTTCCATAGTTGTTTGTTAATGCTAGGTAATCTTCTTGTTTATTGGTTTAATAGTTCCAAACATAGACTTTTTTTTATCCATCAAAGAAAAATATGTATCTAGAGAACACCAGGTCTACCAAAAAATCTACTAGCTGTATTGAACTATCTTCATTAACTAAATTTATTAGATTTATTTTAGAAATTATTTTTTTTGCAACAAAATCAATTTGCATTAAAATCCCTCCATTAGAGATAAAAAAAGCTTGCAGCAATGGTTTTTTTGATTCATCTACAATAATAGTAATTATAGAAGTATTAAAACTAGCATCAGTAACTGGATAGTAAAATAAACTTTAATCACTTAAGTTATATTACAAAACCTAACCATCGCTTAATCCTAAGAAGATTAAATCTTAATTATTATTTGATTAGAAATAAGTTACTAATACTGAAGATTATAACTAAAAAATTCTAATTATTAAACCAGTTTTTATGTCACAATGAATTACTTTTTTATCAAGAGTTAGATAGACATTAGAAAGGATGAATTTGTTAAATTGTATTTCTTAGATACTAAAAATATTAGAAATTTATTGATTATCTTTTGAGTATTAATATTACTAGTAAAATAATACTGCATTTTTTTAAGCTATAATTAATATATCAGATTACTAATTATACATGATATCAACAATTTATGAACCCTCCAAAACTGTTTCGTAACTTATGTGGAATTTTGAGTATCTAAAAATTGTATTATCAGCATTAAAAATCAAAAAATCTAAGAGTTGAGAATTCATTGGTATAGGTGCAAATAAATTAGCTGGTTCATTCAATTAAGCTTCATATTAATCCCCTGCTGTACTATAATTTATTTAGTAAACTGCTCTAGTACTATAAACTATGAGGTTATTGGTAACTTTATCAAAAGTAAAGCTAACTAATTATTCGCTTCTATCAATTATTTCAGTTATTTTGTAATTACTTTAAACAGAATTTACTGCATTAGGATGCATAACATATAAGTTTCCTTAAGTATCAAGGTATAAAAGTGTTGTTGTACTTGGATCAAAATACATTTACACAACATATCCCAACTGATTTTAAGCAAAAGGTCCATTCATTTTTGCTGTGTTTTAAAGTGTCTAAGCATCATAAATATATATTTAAGCAAACTAGTACTAGTTAGCATATAATATTATTTGCTGTAAATAATCCACATAAATATAATTTATTATATTTAATCCTGAAGGTCCTGAAATGAAATCTTATCTAAGTTACAAAGTATCTCTGTAAATAAAGTAAATAACTAGGTTTTAAAGTTAATTTATAAATATTTTGAATTTTTAGATTATTTTATATAATAGAAACTATGAATTCTAAAATTAAATTAAATTGAATTTTTTAAATTCTTTCATTAGTTATAATTCAATTTTCAAAATTTTATAATTAAAAATTTAAAAGATAATATTTTTACAATCATTTTTATTTAAATAAAAAGAATAATTAATTTAATAAAATTTTACATTATTATGATGAAAATAGTAAGAATCCTTGTTAGATACTGCAAGAAGTAAATTGAGTTTTTAGTGAATAAGTTTTATTAAAAATCCCATTGAAATTATAAATTGATATTATGCTAGAAAATAAGAAAATATTCTAATATTACTAGTCAATAAATATTTAAAATTAACTGGTAAATCCATTTACCTAGACGATTTAGATTTAAGAATTATCTTGAGAAGTTTTATTCATAATTACAAACGAATTTAAAGAAACGCTGCATACTATTAAATCATTTGCCATTTGGCATTGAAGAAATTAAACTGCTGTTAAGTTTAATTGAAAATATGAATTCAAAACTTTGAAAGAAGTATCAAGCTTTGAAAAACTTGAACCATAGATATAGAAAACATTTTAGATGGAATCATATAGCCACCCATTTATTTAACTCATGTTACTGAAGTAGTATTTTTAGGAAGAAGCGGACTCGTAGTTTATTAAAAGAACTTATTTCTAATTCCAGCAAATAACACTAAGTGTTCCTTATACTAAGCTAATTTATGAAAAAGATTGACCTGTAGGTATTGTTGGAGTTAATTCTTCTATAAAATCATTTGTAAATAAATTAAAGGAAGTAATTTTTTTAGCAGTTCTAACAAAATAAACTCCAAGATAAGCGCTTTAAATAATTTCTATAATTACGTCACTGGCATCAGATGTAGATAACATATTCTTTGTTGATATTTCTGTATATCTATATTGGTTGAGTTTAGCAATATAAATTAAACCTGATTAAGAACCATATATGCATAAAAGAGTTGAGGAACCAGACTCAATATTATTTAATGGATATGTTGCATAGTCACCAGCAAGATAATCGTGTCCTGATATGTATGTGATGTTTCTTTTAGGATCAATTTCATATTCTTTAAGAAGACTAAAAAAATTTAAATTAAACTCAAATTTAAAATGATAAAAAGCATTTCCTTTTCCATTTATTTTTTTAAAAGGTTATTCGATTGATGGTTTAATTGAAGCTGAATTTACTAGGAATTGTTGATTACTATTTTTTAAAATGAAAATCATGTCATACAAACCACTTAAAATATCTATTCCTGAAATAAAGTAAGCATTGTTATCATTTAAAACTCTTTTTAATTATAAAATACTTTTAACCTTCAGATTAAAGGATGAGCAGGTTTGCAAAAGAGAAATGTTATAAAAACTTAAATTGGATAGAGAGTCAAATATTGCTATCTCTTCAATTACATAGCTATTAAGTATATTACTTTAATCTGAACTGAATTATTTAAAGAAGTTAATTAACTAGATATTGCTTGTTTGCAATAGAGAGTAAACTAAAGAAGCGGATTAATCTGTTAAATTTAATTGATAGACGAAAATGGCTTATATTTTTTGAGTGATAAGTTTCAAGTCGTTATTAAGTGCTATATTTAGATTGTTACTAGAAAAATCATTTGAACATTAAACGAATATGCTTATAAATTCTGTTGATAAAATTTATATGCAATTATTATAATTGATTGCCAGCTTATCATAATTTGATGTGATTTAAATAATATTAGTTAAATTATTTAAAGAAGTGTTTACTATCTATTGAGAGGGGTCAATTAAAAGAACCTATGAACCAGTCAGTGCTATTATTTTATTATTGTAAAATCTATCCATTTGCATACAAGCTTGATTGTTAAAGTTTTTTCGCTATATCAACTGAATTCTTGTTGGACGAGAAGTATCGTAAAAGATAAAATCCCCATTTTAGTGGCAAGAAGTTAGAATGGGTGGAGAAAAAATTTAGATTAATTAATTTACTTGACTTATAGGAGTGGGGAAAGGTAAATTATAATTTTTTATTATTTTTTTATTTAAAGAAAGTGGATTAACTAAGTCTTTAGCAATTATCTGAATTGAGGATTTAGAAAAAAAAGCAATTTCAAAAAGCATCTAAGATTCAAATGTTTAATTTTATTGTAAAATAGGCATTTTTTTTAAAGATTAAAAAGGAAAATTTAGAGAAAGTGTTTATTTCAATTAATCATACGTCTCAAGACTATAATTATAGTTATACATCTATAGTGTTTGGTTTACTATAATAAAAAGCTGATTACTTAATCCAGAAAAATTTCCAACTTCAAAATCAATTATTTTATCTTAGCTGTTAATGTCAAGCTATATAGCGAATTATGTCCTATCCATCCATTTATAATTCACGAGGGAATTTTGATTTAAAATTATTAAGCGAAAATCATTTTACACCAACCCAGGAACTATTAACTTAACTTTTTGAATTTAAGATAGCTAGATGACAGTTGAGCAACTTTTATTAGTTACATTAACGATTGCAATCTAATCGCTTAAGACTGAAAAAAATACATCCATAAAAGGAGTCTAAAGGACAGAGAGAAAATTTACTTGTTATTTAAAATTGCAAATAAATGATTATGCAAAATTTAATTAATTTTCCTCATACTAAAAACTCAATTAATAAACAATTAAATTGGTAGAGTTTCCCATAAACATAAAGTCATTTGTAATTTGAATAAATTTTTGATTACATATTACTTGAATGGGATTGGTAACAAATGATTGTTATTAGCTAATATCATAAATAATTTAAAACATTGCAATCTAATTAGTTAAATTATAGATCATTATAAATTAATTTTTATTCCAAAGGCTAACAAGCGTCTGTTAATTAATTAAAATCTACTGAGATGTAAAAATCTGATTTCTACTCTCATTTATGATGTCCCAAATTTCAATTGACTATGATTATTTCAAAGCTATAATATTTCCATTTATGTTTAATATTTACAGATCATCCTAAAGATAACTCAAATTTTTAATCAAAAACATTCCGTTTTTATCATATATCGAAAGATAGCCTAACTAAAGAGAAACATAGTAGAGTTATTAATAGATAAAGAAATCAATAGGAATGCCTAAATTTTATAAGTTATTGCTCGTTGCATAGGAAGAGGAGCACTGAATCAGTTATTGGCATGTATTCGACTAAGTATTTCTATAAAATAACGGTTGGCAAATAGACTAGCAACTTCCTATTGAATCATTTTGGTAAGTGATGTCTTTCTAAAAGTAGAGATTAGGAAGGCAGCTTTAATATATGCATATTTTGTTGGATTTATCGAACTAGTATCCTTCAAAACATTAATTGCAAGATGAAACTCCGCTATACTAATCTTAATAGCATTCCTTACAGCCAGTGATACATTCTGAAAACCCTTTTATTACTTAAATAATGAAAATAAATAAGTAGAACTTCCCCATATTTTTATTCTTTCCTTTTTAAATTGCTTTTAATTTTCTATTATTTTTGATTTATTTATTCATAAGAATGCATGAATTTAAGTTTAAACTAAAGATAATTTATAAGATGCTTGCTCTTTATAAAAAACAAATTAAAAAACCTTTATCATTTTAATTAAATTTCGCTCTAATAAAAATTTCTTATTTAAATACAGATTATTTGATGATAAATATACATTCAAGGCATTTCACTCTCAAAAATTTTATTCCAAATAATTTTTTTAACATACAAAATAATTAAAAAAAAAACATTGATTATTTCAAAAAATGTTATTTATTGATTAAATTAATTATTGTATTATTATGTAAAATAATAATTTTTTTTTTACTTCTACAATCATGTAAAAAGGATTTTATGGGTCTCAGAGTAGGCTTCAAAGATGGCGGGGGGTGCCATTAATTAATGAGGATTTAGAGTATTTAATTTTAAGAATAATGTTAAATGACTTAATATAAACTCATAAATTTTAAATAAAAATATAAATATTTCAAATAATTTAAACAAGAAGTATATTTATTTATTTTTTTTTAACAAGAATAATTCAGAATATTTCTATCAATATTTGATTAAATATTAATATTTCAAATATTAGTTTCTAATTTTTGATTTAATTGTTAATTTACTAAAATAGAATAAAGTAGAAAGAAAAAAATGAATGAAATAAAACTTTAGAAAATATATATGGATAGAGTTTTTACAAAAATATTATAAATTCTGATTTTAATTTAATCAAATTTTTAGTAAAGCAAATATTTAGAAAATTTGCTTTTAACTCATGCAATTCCTAAAAGTTTTATTTATTTATTTATTTATTTATTTATTTATAATATTTGATTTTACTGTTTAATATACAATTAAGAAAGCTAAATATAAAATATAAGCATGAATAAAAAAAATTAGTAAATCACTCATGAAATATCAGACAAGTCAAGTACCTCTATTTTTTTTGATTTTTATTTACTAATATCTTTTGTTTACTAAAAAGTATTTAATCTAGTTTAGTATATTGAATTCGATAAGATATTCAAAGGATTTACTGTTTATTATGGGCGCTTTATAAATGAGTAATTTTATGTAATCTAACTAATGAATGGACTTCCTCCTATTAAACTTTTATCCTCCAGTGTTTGAGTATTTTCTAAGCCTACAATTTTTTTAGCTACATATGCTTTATAGTATATAAACAAAATTCAAATAAATCTATAAAAATAATAAAAAAATAAATTATTACATTTTTTTTTCTAAGTAATTCGACTCAATTCTTTTTTGGACATATTTAATTGAGAGATATTTGAATACAATTCAGGTTTCAATTTTGTGATCACAGCTAAATTTCTATAAATGAGTCTCCAAAGATAGAATGTTCTAAAAGAGATATTATTCTATAAGCTTTCATAGCATTTTTTAGGAAGTATTTTTGTAATCAACATCATCAAAAACATTCCTAATTTAGAACTTTTGCTCTTGATTTTTAACAGCAAAATAGAAAAGAAGCAGTAAGAAAAGAATGAATAATCTATTATAAATTAGATCATATTAGCAAATAATATAGATTTATTATCACCATCTAATTTGAGTCCTGATAAAAATAATTTTATAACTATTAATAAGTAACATAATATTTCGCTTTTTTAGAGAGTTTTTGAAAAAAATGGATTCGTTTACTAAACTACTTTAAGATATAAGCCAATTATTATTAATGAGCCAACTAATGAAGTAATTTAATAATATGGTTAGATAATAGTGTAAATGTAGATAAGTAATATTTTAAGGTAAGTTCTAATAAATTCCCAATAATAGTACTCTCTTTAAAACTCTTCGTAGTAGTATCCATATTTATACTTTATTGTGCATTCATTTAGCTTATTTTTATTTTTTTTAATATTATATAATACTAATAATGGTAAGAATGTTCTAAATAATAGAATAGTTATAGAAAATGGATAATTAAATTTTAAGGTATCAGCATCATAGCATTTAATTCTAAGATCATATGGATTATAAAGTTAATTACCTATTTTTGTGCAGGTTAGAGATTTTGTAAAATATTATATTTATCCAACTTAAAAGAAAATAAAATGCGTGTGAAAGATCATAAAATAATGGTAGGATTTTATTTTACTGTAGGTAAAGTATTATAACCATAAAAGAATAATAAAATCTACGATAATAATCATTTAAGGAATAAGAAATTGAAATACTTCTTAAACGATTACTTAGCCAAATTATTCAATTAATTTAGTATGTAATATACAATTTACTCCTAATGATAATTATCTATTTGTTTGACCTACAAAATTATTCAAAAAGCTTAAATAAACTGGAATAAATTATGAGTTTGGAAACAAAATAGAAGACAGCTAGTAGAAATTGATGATAATCTTAATTTGAAATCCAGAATAATCATTGATTGAATTTTTGTAGATTGGTAAAATTTTCAAAATTCTTAAATAGTAACATGTTTAAGTAAATTTAAACTGCATTAAGAAAACTTACATGCTGAAAAAAAAGTAAAATACCATTATGCTAAACTTTAAGGTAAGGAAAGCATACTAAAAATAGATTCCTGCACATTACTCACAGAAACCTTTCATGATTGCTTCTTAATAACGAGCTCCTTACCAAATTTCTCCTGTTATATCACATTACTAACAGAGAGGGCCTATGTAACCAACAGAGCAATAATTTATACTATTAGGATCTTCCCCCTTACACGAACCAATTTAAGGATCACAAGATAGTATTTGATCAGTAAAATTATTTGACCTCCAGTAGCCATTTTTAAGATTAATAGAGGCTCCTTAACAACTAGAAGCAGAAGGTGGGCACGTATTACATTCATTTTTTATTAAATTACTTTAATCTAATTACTATTTAAATAAAACTTGAGGGTCAATTAGTGAGTATGTTTATTCTTAGCAGTATTTACATATCATAATATCATTTGTAACAGATTAGATTATTTCTCCTAATTAACATTATCTGAAGTAAATAGAAAGTAATACAGGATATGATTCTTCAGATTTAGTATAAATGCTAGAACTTATAACAAATAGTTAATTTGATTAGAGTTGTGCTAAAATTTGCAAACTTGTTAACTCAAAAGCTTAGCTAGTACTATTGTATTAGTTGTAATCTAATATCCTTTATCCAATTAATTAACTAAGCTGTACATCTAAGTTATTAATACTGATATAAATATCTTTCAATTCTTACTATATATCACTTGGATATAATTCACCAAGGAGCTTTTCTTAAGAAAATGAAAGGGAACGATTATAGTTATCTAAAACAAAAATTCTTAAAATAAGCTAGCCTCCGCTCTAAAAATCTTTTATATGAGCATATCTTGAAAATTAAGATTAATATGCTTAAGGAATAAAATTTGTACTTTCTTAAAAGTTAAATTAATACATATTTTATTTGCTTTAACCTTATACATTCTATAATTAAAGCTATTAAGGGTAAGTAGTTGAATCGTTTCCATATATTTCTGCTTCATTTTAGAAAATATTTTTTTAAAAAGGAAAATTTTTAGGAAATTTAAAATTCATAGAGCTACTTTGAATGATTCTTAATCCACCTCCTATCAAGGCCTTGTTCTTACTTACTTTTGAATTTGAATCAAAAATAATTTAGCAATTACCAATATCTGCAAAGTAAAAAGCTCCGCCACTGCTTGTAGCAGAATTTCCAATAAATTAAGAGTTAATAAAACTAACTGACTACAAGATTCCTAAAAAAAAGAGTGCTCCACCATTCTATGCTTAGTTAAAAGAAAAATTTGAGCTTTATATTGAGATTGTTTATTATTGGCTTAGTTAGAAGCTTCCTGAATTGTTTTTATAATTTATTTGGTATAATACAATAAAAGTATTTTGAATCATTATAAGATGTTAATTTTCTATTTTATTTGAAGTAAAATTTAATTAATTTAATTAGACTTAGTCATTATAAAACGTGGTAAGTTTATTATTAAGAAAATATTGGTTTAAATAGTAAATAATTGATATTTATTGATTTTATAAAAATTATGAATTTGAAAGAGAAACAAACTAACATCCAAAAAAATTAAAAACAGAATTATTTTCTAAAGATTCTGTTTATGCCAATTATCTTCTCTTGTTTGCTTATTAATTTTCATTTGTATTTAACAAAATTTTGGAGTTTTAGATTGTAACATTTTAAATTTATGTAAAAGAAAAAAAGCTTGTTATATTTATATTCAATTTGACATTTATTCCATCTATAAAAATATTATCTATTTGCTTAAAATCAAAGAGAATATTTTGGGTCTTTTAAAGGAAACTATTTTATGAGATGTCCAAGTCATAAATAATAATTTTCGATACGTTTTAGAAACTAAACAAAGTGGAAGATTAATTCTAATTTATTGATTAATTGCACAGTTTTAATTAAGATAATTTTATTGATTATAAAATTATTTGTTAAATATTAGCAATCTAGATGTTTACATTATCTATGCATTAATTAACTATGCTTATATTTTACCAAGTAACATACTGAGTATTTTAATTAAGAGTAATTTAAATTGCTTAATTATTATTGTTACTGAAAACAAAATTATAGTTAAATATTTAAAGAATTTGCTATTTTAATATAGAAAATGTGTTGTTTTATAATTGAAGATCGTTTTAAGTACCAGTTTGCGGAGAAAATATGAATTAGGAGTTAGAGATCTAATTTTAAGAAATAAATTAAATTACATTCATAAATTATTGGTTATTTATTTCTAAAAAAATTAAGTTTGTCCAGTTAACTTAGTTTTAAGTAGTTAATCCTTATATTTGATTCACAACAGTTTATTTTGGAACTACATTCAATATCTGTTGTTTTACTTGTTACACATCATTATTCAATATTATAGAGCACTCAGATTGAGTTTAATTCTAATTATAAATAGATAGACTATAATTGTCTTCAAAAACTCCTCCTTAATGTAATCCATAAATTTTTAAAAATTTATTAGATTAGTTATAAATATAACCCAGCAACTTTGGATAATTGAATTATTTTTATGATATTAAACTATTCTAATTATTTTTAAGTAAAATAATTTCATATTTTAGTTAAAAGAAAATAATAATAATATTATTGTCAATAATCTAGAAGTTTGTAATAATATCAGCTCGAAAGTTTCTCTAAATTAATGTTAGTAATTTAATCTTTTTTTAGATGCTGTATATGTTCAACTGGAATCTGCAAGAAGTTATCACAAATTATCCTTATATTAAAGTAATTTTATTTCCATGGTTGTTTGTTAATGCTAGGTAATCTTCTTGTTTATTGGTTTAATAGTTCCAAACATAAACTTTTTTTTATCCATCAAAGAAAAATATGTATCTAGAGAATACCAGGTCTACCAAAAAATCTACTAGTTGTATTTCACTTTCTTCATTGACTAAATTAATTAGATTTATTTTAGAAATTATTTTATTTATAACAAAATCAACTTGTATTAAAATCCCTCCATTAGAGACAAAAAAAGCTTGCTGCTATGGTTTTTTTGATTCATCTAAAATAATATTTATTATAGAAGTATTAAAACTAGCATCAGAAACTGGATAGTAAAATACACTTTAATCACTTAAGTTATATTACAAAACTTAACCATCACTGAGACCAAAGAAAATTAAATCTTAATTTTTATTAGATTAGAATTAAGTTACTAATACTGAAGATTATAACTAAAAAGTTCTAATTATTAAACCAGTCTTTAGGTCACAATGAATTACTTTTTTATCGAGAGTTAGATAGACATTAGAAAGGATGAATTTATTGAATTATATTTCTTAGATACTAAAAATATTAGAAATTTATTGATTGTCTTTTGAATATTAGTATTACTAGTAAAATAATACTGCATTTTTTTAAGCTATAACTAATATATCAGATTAACAATTATACATGATATCAACAATTTATGAACCCTCCAAAACTGTTTCGTAACTTATGTGGAATTTTGAGTATCTAAAAATTGTATTATCAGTATTAAAAATCAAAAAATCTAAGAGTTGAGAATTCAATGGTATAGTTGAAAATAAATTAGCTGGTTCGTTCAATTAAGCTTCATATTAATTCCCTGCTGTACTATAATTTATTTAGTAAACTGCACTAGTACTATACACAATGAGATTATTGGTAACTTTATCAAAAGAAAAGCTAACTAATTATTCGTTTCTATCAATTATTTCAGTTATTTTGTAATTATTTTAAATAGAATTACTTTAATAAGGGAACATAACATATAAGTTACCTTAAGTATCAAGGTATAATAGTGTTGTTGAAAATGGATCAAAATACATCTACACAACATAACCTATCTGATTTTAAGCAAAGGATCCATTTATTTTTGCAATGTTTTAAAGAGTCTAAGAATCATAAATATAGATCTAAGCAAATAAGTACTAGTTAGCATATAATATTATTTGCTGTAAGTAGTCTACATAAATATAATTTATTATATTTAATCCTGAAGGTCCTGAAATGAAATTTTATCTAAGTTACAAAGTATCTCTGTAAATAAAGTAAATAACTAGGTTTTAAAATTAATTTATTAAATATTTAAAATTTTAAAAATATTTTACATAATATAAATTGTGAATTCTAAAATTAAATATTATTTTTTTAAAATAATTTATTTTTTTTAAATATTTTTTAATTTTCAAAATTTTATAATTAAAACTTTAAAGATTATATTTTTACTATCATTTTTATTTAAATAAAAAGAATAATCTTTTAATAATTTACATTATTATGATGAAAATAGTAAGAATCCTTGTTAGATACTGCATGAAGTAAGTTGAGTTTTTAGCGAATAAGTTGTATTAAAAACTCCATTAAAATTATAAATTGATATTATGCTAGAAAATAAGAAAATATTCTGATATTACTCATCTAGAAATATTTAAAATTAACTAGTAAACCCATTTACTTAAACTATTTAGATTTAAGAATTATCTAGAGAAGTTTTATTCATAATTACAAATGAGTTTAAAGAAACACTACATATTATTAGATTATTTGTCATTTAGCATTAAAGAAATTAAACTTTTGTTAAATTTAATTGGAAAATTGAGTTCAAAATTTTCAAAGAAGGATCAAGCTTTGAAAAACTAGAACCATAGATATAGAAAACATTTTAGTTAGAATCATACAACCATCCATTTATTAAGCTCATATTACTGAAGTAGTATTTTTAGGAAGAAGTTTATTCGTAATTTACTAAAAGAACTTATTACTAACTCCAGCATATAACACTAAGAGTTCCTTATACTAAGCTAATTTATGAAAAAGATTGATTTGTAGGTATTGTTGGAGTTAATTCTTCTATAAAATCATTTGTAAATAAATTATAGGAGGTAATTTTTTTAATAGTCCTCACAAAATAAACTCCAAGGTAAGCGCTTTAAATAATTTCTATAATTTAGTCAGTGGCATCAGATGAAGATAACATCTACTTTGTAGAGATTTCTGTATATCTATATTGGTTGAATTTAGCGATATAAATTAAACCTGATTAAGAACCATATCTACATAAAAGAGTCGAGGAGCTAGACTCAATATTATTTAATGGATATGTTGCATAGTCACCATAAAGATAATCGTGTCCATATATGTAGGTAATGTTTCTATTAGGATCAATCTCATACTCTTTAAGAAGACTAAAAAAATTTAAATTAAACTTATATTTATAACTATAAAAAATATTTCCTTTTCCATTTATCTTTTTAAAAGGTTATTCAATAGATGGTTTAAAAGGGGCTGAATTTATAAGGAATTGCTAATTGCTATTTTTTAAAATTAAAATCATATCATACAAACCACTTAAAATATCTATTCCTGCAATAAAGTAAGCGCTGTTGTCATTTAAAACTCTTTTTACTTATAAAATACTTTTAACATTCAGATTAAAAGGTGTGCAGGTTTGCAAAAGAGAAATATTGTAAAAACTTAAATTAGATAAAGAGTCAAATAGTATTATTTCTTCAATTACATAGCTATTAAGTGTATTACTTTAATCTGAAATGAATTATTTAAAGAAATTTACGAACTATATATTACTTGTCTGTGATAGAGAGTAAACTAAAGAAGCGGATTAGTCAGTTAAATTTAATTAATAAATGAAAATAGCTTATATTTTTTGAGTGATAAGTTTCAAATCGTTATTTAGTGCTATATTTAGATTGTTACTAGAAAAATTATTTGAACATTAAACGAATATGCTTATAAATTCTGTTGAAAAAATTTATATGCAATTATTATAATTGATTGCCAGCTTATCATAATTTGATGTGATTTAAATAATATTAGTTAAATTATTTAAAGAATTGTTGACTATCTATTGAGAAGGATCAATCAAAAGAACCTATAAACTAGTCAGTGCTATTATTTTATTATTGAAAAATCTTTCCATTTGTACGCAAGCTTAATTGTTAAAGTTTTTTCTCTGTATCAACTGAATTCTCGTTGGTCTAGAAGTATCGTAAAAGATAAAATCACCATTTTAGTGGCAAGAAGTTAGAATAGGTGGAGAAAAAACTTAAATCAATTAATTTACTTAACTTATAGGAGTGGGGAATGGTAAGTTGAAATTTTCTATTATTTTTTTGTTTAAAGAAAGAGGATTAAGAATGTCTTTAGCAATTATCTGAATTGAAGATTTAGAAAAAAAAGCAATTTCAAAAAGCATCTAAGATTCAAATGTTTAATTTTATAGTAAAATAGGCATTTTCTTAACAGATTAAAAAGAAAAATTTAGGGAAATAATTTATTTCAATTAATCATGCATTTCTAAAATATAATTATAGTTATATATCTGCAATGTTTGGTTTACTATGATAAAAAGCTGATTACTTAATCCTGAAAAATTTCCAACATCAAAATCAATTATTTTATCTTAGCTGCTAATATCAAGTTTGATAGTGAATTAAGTCCCATCCATCCATTTATAATTTACAAGGGAGTTTTGTTTTAGAATGATTAAATGAAAATCATTTTACACTAAACCAGGAACTACTAACTTAACTTTTTGAATTTAAGATAGTTAGATGATAGTTGAACAACTTTTGTTTGTTAAATTAACGATTGCAATCTAATCGCTGAATACTGAAAAAAATACATCCATCAACGGAGTCTAAATGACAGAGAGAAAACTTACTTGTTAGTTAAAGTTACAAACAAAAGATTGTTCAAAATTTAATTAATTTTCATTATATTATAAATTCAATTAATAAACAATTAAATTGGTAGAATTTCCCATAAATATAAAATCATTTAAAATTTGAATAAATGTTTGATAGTATATTATTTAGATGGGATTGGAAACAAATGACTGCTATTAGCTAATATCATAAATAACTTAAAATGTTGCAATCTACTTATTTAAATTATATATCATTATAAATTAATTTTTATTCCAAAGGCTAACAAGCGTCTGTTAATTAATTAATATCTGCTGAGATGTAAAAATCTGATTTCTACTCTCATTTATGATGTCCCAAATTTCAATTGACTATGATTATTTCAAAGCTATAATATTTCCATTTATATTTAATATTTACAGATCATCCTAAAGATAACTCAAATTTTTAATCAAAAACATTCCGTTTTTATCATATATTGAAAGATAGCCTAACTAAAGAGAAACATAGTAGAGTTATTAATAGATAAAGAAATCAATAGGAATTCCTAAATTTTATAAGTTATTGCTTGTTGCATAGGAAGAGGAGCACTGAATCAGTTATTGGCATGTATTCGACTAAGTATTTCCATAAAATAATGGTTCGCAAATCGATTAACAACTTCCTATTGAATCATTTTGTTAAGTGGTGTCTTTCTAAAAGTAGAGATTAGGAAGGCAGCTTTAATATATGCATGTTTTGTTCGATTTATCTAACTAGTATCCTTCAAAACATTAATTGCAAGATGAAACTCCACTATACTAATCTTAATAACATTCTTTGCAGCCAATAATACATTATGAAAACCCTTTTATTACTTAAATAATAAAAATAAATAAGTAGATCTTCCCCATATTTTTATTCTTTCCTTTTTTAAATTGCTTTTGATTTTCTTTTATTTTTAAATTAATTTTTCACTTTAGAATGGAGGAATTTAAGTAAATAGTGAAGATAAATTAAAAATGCTATTAATAAATAAGAAATTAAAAAATCTTATCCTTTTTTAAAGAATTAACTTTCTCTCTAATTAAAATTTCTAACTTAAATACAGATTATTTGATTATAAATATTGTAAAATCATTAAAAAATCAATATTAAAGGTATTTCACTTTCAAAAATATAATTCCAAATAATTTTTAATTTCTACAATTTATATTTCAATATATAAGCACACAAAATAATTTTATGATAAAAATAAGCATTTTGATTTGATTATTTCTAAAAAAGATTATCACACTTCTAGGTTTTAATAATATTTAATTGAATCTCAATTTGAATATTATTTATTGATTAAACTAATTAAACTAAATAATATTGCTTATAATATCAATATATTTTATATACTTCTACTATTGATCTAAAAGTACAGGATAGAATGGATATTTTTAGGTTTAAACTGATTTTAGGTGAAAATCTAAATATTTTTACTAAAATTTAATAAAATAAATTAATCAGTTTGCAATGGTTTGTAAATTTAATTTTTATTTTTAAAACAAGCAACAAAATTTTAAAACTAGATCTACAATTCTTTATTGAACCAAAATTTCTAATACATAAATCAATACCTGGTTCCTTTAACTAAGAGATAAAATATTGAATTTAATTTACTAAAATCAAAGAGTGTAAATAAAGCAGTGAAATCTATGGCTGGTTAATTAATGATTGAAGACACTACTAAAAAAATGATTATCAAAATATACCTTTATTGATAAATATATATTTTTCATGAAATTTAATTAAGAATTCTTTGTAATTATAATAATAAAGTATTTTTCAATAAATTGGAAACTTATTGCATTTATAACTAAAACTTAAGCATACATTTTTTAAATACTTCATTAATTTATATTTAATTCTCCTTCTATCAATTTGTATTTACTTCTATGACCCATCTTTTTGCTTTAAATTAATATTAAAACCAAGAAAATGAATAAAAAAAGACAATAAATTATTTCAATTATATAGCTGTCCTAAGTTTTAAAATATTTATTTAAAAATGATTATATGACAGTCTAAATTT